CGGCTGTGTTTGCTATGAAAATATTTAGATTAATTAAGATCTTTAGTAATTCAATAAAATGTGGGGGGAAACAGTCTAGAAAGTAAACATAGATACCAGAGACAGTATAGGAAGAGAGTGGGAGATGGGAGAGGGTAAGAGAGGGAATCAAGGATGGGGGGAGGGGAAGCAAAACATACACGAAACAAGAAATGGAAAATTATTTCTTGACAATAACATGTATGTTGATGTGCTTGATTTAGACAATATACAGTGTACTCTGGATGGAAAATCTCATTTTGTATGCTGCAATGATGTACAGTGAATGAACGTAAACAAATAAATTTAAATAAATTTAAAAAAAAAGAAAAATAGAAAAAAAAAAAAAACACCTCACTGCTTTCCAAAGATGACAGATGGACTAAGAAAGTCCATTCTAATAAAGGAGACCAGTTTTAACTTTTAATCCAAGGGTCTTCTGCATTTCCAAACACAGATGAAAACAGCCATGCAGACAAATAACCTATGGATCCTTAAAACGAGCGAGTCCCATTTACAAGCACTGCCTCACTTTATTACTCACATCCTTTCCTGTGGGGATCCTGGTCAGTGTCTTGTAATTGTATTTTAAGGAGTTTGCATTTTCCACAAGTAGCTTTATTAGATAACCTAACTGATGAAAATATAGAGCTATCCTGAAAATCAATTCAGGATAGTTAATAAGAACCCAGGTTGGAAATGGAACATCTTTTTTTTTTTTAAAGTGGGTTTTAAAGGCAGCCTCAACATTTGTAATGGAGATAATATAACTGTATGCGTATTGTTGGTGGTTGTCATAAGTCGATCCCGAATGCTCTATACTGAGACACTGAGAAAGTCTGCTGGGGAGGGAGTGTATGGTTGACAAGCCTTGCTTTCTAACTGTGCAGCAGGCAGCCCTGTTTTTATCATGTGCTCTCATTTACTGAGCACTTATGCTATACCAGGCAGTAGACAGAGAACTTTCTCTCCTTTAAAGATGAAGAAATGGAAGCTTGAGGTGACAAAGACCTGGCCTAAGACTGCTTAGTTGGGAGTATGAGAATGAGAAGCCCGAGAGTGGGCCCCAAAGCCAATCAAGATTACCCTTGGGTGCCCACAGCGCCCCCTAGGGTGCAATCGCCTCTCAGAACTTGGACAGCATGGCAGTGCTTTTTCAGAGACAGTCAGCACAATTCCCCATTTGGATTAGACATAACTCACCACCCCAGAAAAACAGTAGACAATGCTTTGAAGCATTAAATAACCACAAACACACAACCCAGAGTGAGGCAGAGAATGCCAAGCTCCTGAAAACAGCTATTCCCAAACTTCAGTGTGCAGGGGACCAGCCCGGAGAGTTGAGTAAAGTGGGGGCTGCCAGAGCACTGCGTGAGAGTCTCTGCTTTACCGCTTACCCGCTGGGTGATGTTGGGCAAAAATGGGGATCCCAACAGGGCCTCCCAGGACAGGGGGGAGAGCCAGCTGGAGTGTCCCATCAGGAGCTCAGCACTCTGCCTGCCCACAGTAAACCCAGCAGCCGTCAGCCCTCGTGACTCCTCCAGGGTCAGGTCCTTTCGGTTCACTTGGAATGTAACCGCCCAGGACATCTTCTCCTTCCTTTGGGACATAATCACATACGACTTGGAAAATTACCCCTGACATTTTCAGGTTTTCTAGAGACACTCATTTCCTTAACTTTCCCATTTTGGGCTTGCATCTCCACAGCATTTCAAGGGCGTTCAATTTAGGCAGAGATACAGATCGATGACTGGGCAAGACCAGATTAGCGTCGAGTCCTGACATCACCGGGGATGACTCATGGTACACATTTACAAAAACATGCAAAGGAAGAAGAATCAAAACACAAGAATCGTCAGGAACCCTACTCGAATACAGAGCTGTCATTCTGATCTCCCCAAATCAGAATCTCGGTGATGGAGCGGATGGTCTCCACCAGCAGGTTCCGGTTCTGTTCGGTGACGGTGGTGTTTTTGGTCAAAACATGGTACAGATACCTGAGAGAAGAGAGAGGAAAGGAAGTTAAAGGTGACCAGCGGGAAGGGAAGCCAGGCTCCATGACCAGGAGCAGCATATTGCGGACAACGTGGCAGTGCCTTTTCAGATATGGTTAGGACAGCTCCTCATTCGGATTAGACGTCAGTCATCACCCCAGAAAAACAGCAAACGGTGCTTTGAAGCGTTAAATAACCAGGGAGACACCATCCCAGACTGAGGCAGAGAATCCTCAAGCCCTTGAAAATAGCTATCCCAGGCCAGCAGGTGGCGTAGTGGTTAAAACGCTGGACTCCCACCTGGCAGATTCTCAGACCTGATAGCTTCAAAGGTATGCACACGTGCCCAGCGTGTCCAGGACCCTGAGACAAGAGTGGAGGAGAGAGGGTTGCTCATGGTCATCCTCCCAGGGGGTGATTTATCACTTTCTGTCTCCCTCAGGAGCACATGTGCACCATAGCAAAAGAACTCTCAAAACAAACAAACAAAAAACCTATCCCTAAACTTCAGTGTGTGTGTGTGTGTGTGTGTGGCGGGGGGGACTTGCTTGGAGCTGAGTAAAGTAGGGGCTGCCAGAGCTCACTTGGAGATGGACTCCACAGCAATGAGGGGACAGAACCAGCCTGTCGCACCTGCCAGCACAGATCCTGCTGCCAGAGGAGCATGTGGGGACACATGGCCCAGGGCAGAATACAGAGCACAAGACCTGCAGCCAGGCTGACGCTGAGCAGCAGACCCTTCCCCACGCTGGAATGTCCTTCTGAATGGAGGAGGACATCCCCTCGTATCACATTTCACACTGCTGGCCGAGTGCATGGTAGCAGCCTGGGTGACTGCTGACTGCATCTGCTCTGCTGATCCCCAACCAGGACAGAAGAGCTTACAACCTGCAGGACCAGGCCTGACTTCAACTGCATGGGCTTCCTTCCTGGAACGCCCTAGCTGCCTTCATCAGCCAGCCTTACTCTTGGTGCAGCCTTCCCTCAGTGAAGCCTTCCTTCCATAAGTTCCTTAAGAACCTCTCTGGGTGGGAACCAGCAGTTAGTGTAATGGCTATGTTGCTGGACTCCCACGTAGTCGACCGCGGTTTGCATCCCGGGCCCGGTAGCTTAAAACCCACGCCGGGCACGTGTGCATGCATGCCCAAGATCCCGACAGGAGAATGGAGGAGAAGGGATTGCAGCGTGGCCATCCCCTCTGGGGGGTGATTTCTCGCTTTCTGTCTCTCTGTCTCTCTCTGTCTGTCTGGCGAGCGCACGCACCCTATAGTGAAAAACTTCTAAAAAAATAAATTAAAAAAAATAAAAAAGAACCTCTCTGGGAGTGGGACTAGCAGTTGGTGTAATGGCTATGTTGCTGGACTCCCATGTGGGCACGTGTGCATGCATGCCCAAGATCCCGACAGGAGAATGGAGGAGAAGGGATTGCAGCGTGGCCATCCCCTCTGGGGGGTGATTTCTCGCTTTCTGTCTCTCTCACGCACCCTATAACCCCCCACGCCCGCAAAAAAAAATCTCTCTGTGTGAATTTGACCACTCACTCTCTCTAGCACCTCTGTCCCCTCGAATGCTTGTTGTTTCACAGACCACACTGATTTGTAATGATCTGCCTCCCTCACTAGACCTGGGTTCGTCAAGGTCAGGGCCATCGTCTTGTTGACCTTGGTGATACAGGGTGGCTAGTACCCCGTGGGTGTTCGATACATGCTGACAGAGCCGGGCAGCCTCGTGACAGATACACATAAACTGAACAAGCCAAGGTCCAAACACAAGCTACGGCGCTGGGCCTGGGTCAGACAGCTTGATCCCTGTCCCTGCTGCTTCCTAACGTGGCCTCAGACGAGGCATTCATCTCTCTGTGGCAGAGTCTACAAAACCCAATCACAGCCTCCTCACCGGTTGTTTTGGAAAGCCTGTGTTAACACACAGAAAGGGCCGAGCGTGGCACCTGGTGCCCAGCACACACTCTTCAGTAGGGTTAGCTGCTATTACGGATGTTAATATACTGTGGTCGGTACGTTGGGGTCGTCATTAACAACACTGCTAAACTATACAAAGACTATTTCAGGAACTGAGGAAGGAGAGGCCAGGTTGGATCCAAACAGGAAAAGACCTCGGGGGAGGAGCCGTGATAAGAAGGCCGCGAGAAGCAGAGCAGGTGCTGGGAAGTCAGGGTCATCCCGTGAGAGGCAGGAGCATTGGGTTCATCTCAGACATGGTGCTCGACTCTCAGTAGCTGGGTGATTGTGAGCCAGTTTCTTCATCTCTGGGCCCGCGGTTGGCTCACCTGTGAACTGGGAGCAGCAATGGTTCCTAACGAGGGCCTACCTATTCCAGTGCTGTTAGGAATAAATAAGTGTTGAGGTAGCTAAACCGGCAGCGACTACCAACAACACAAGTGCTAGCTGCTCTCATTGACGCTTTGAAATCATCTCTGAAAAAGATCCTACTATTAGGAGGCCCTCACAGACAGGGAAAGGGCAGGGTCTAAATCACCCTAGGAGCGCCCACATGCCTGGCTCTGCGTGAGGACTTTATACGACCCCTGGGCTCACAGTAACCTGGGGACATGTACACTGTTACCACCGCACTGTCATGACGGCACCCGAGGCCTGGGGAGGCGCAACAGCTCACAGCACGCCCATGGCAGGGAGGTGCGGTCTCAGGGCTCCGTCTGCGCCACGGCCTCTCGGACATCTCATGTCTTTTTCAGTGGAGACATTCTATTGAGGGTGTGACAATAGCACGCTGAGCTTTACCACATGATGACTAATAAAGTCGGGTGCCTTTCATGTATGTTTATGGGCCGTCTGAATCATCTTTTGTGAGGTGCCTTTGCAAGTCTTCTTCCATTTTTTATTGGGTCAAGTGCCCTTTTGTTATTTTTCTGACAGAGTTCTTCATATATTCTGGACATAAACCTTTCACTGGATATACATACTGCAAGTATTTTCTCTGAGAGTGGTCTGCCTTTTCACTCTCTTTATAATGCTTTTTTGGTGAACAGAGGTTTTAATTTTTTTTAAGCTTTTTGTCATAGGATGTATGCAGAAAAGAGAGACAGTGAGAGGAAAAGTGAGAGATCACCCCCCACCACCACCAAGGAGGATGGCCACACCGCAATTCCTTCTCCATTTTCCTGGGATTTGGGGCATGCACACACACACACACACACACACACACACACACACACACACACGGCGTGCTGTTCAAGCCAAGTCCAGAACTCGAACCACAATTGGCCATGTAGGAATCCAGAGCCTTAACCTCTACACCACCTGTTGGCCTCAAGGTTTTTAATTTTAATATTCCCCAATTTATCAATCTTTCCCTTGAATTTATTATTATTATTAAGCTTACGAAATCTTCCTTACCCTAAAGTTATGAAAACGAAATTCTGTTTTCCTCTAAAAGAAAAAAAAAAAAAAGATTGTTTCACCCTTACATTTTGAATATATCTGGAAATGACTTGTGTAAGGTAGTATTGGCCAAAATTAATTGTTTCTGTACAGAGATCTCATTGAACCAACAGCATTTCCTGAAAAGGCCCTCATTTCTCTTCTGCACTGCAGTGTCACCTTCGTCATTAATCAGGTGACTACATGAGTGAGGGTCTCCTCCTGCATTGATCACATGTCTGTCCTTGTGGCAACACCCTGCTGTTACTACAGCTTTATAACAACCCTGCCATGTGCTAAGTCTTCCCACTTCTTTCCTTCTGTTTCTTTCCATTTACATTGGTTATTCTTGGCCCTTTAATCTCCACATATATTTAAAAATCACCTTTTCAATTTCTACAAAAATCTCTGCCACGTTTCCTTTGAGACTGCCCTACATTTATAGCTAAATTTGGAGCGCACTGACATCTTTATAATAAGATACCTTACTGTACCATAAAATGCTGTTAGGATAGTTACAGCATTTCTTTCCATGTTCACTGGATAGGGGCCTTGCACATCTTTTGTGAGATTTACTCCTAAGTAGTTGATGTTTCTTGATGCGATGGTAAATGATATTGCTTGAAATACCCATTTTCTGCATGTCTGCTGCTGGCAGACTGAGATACCGGTAGAATTTAGGCTCTAAAGCGCTATCGTATCACACCTGGACCTTGCTCGCCTTTTGCCCTAGCACACTGTTGTAGGTAATGTTTTGGAAGAGACCTCAATACATGTTTGCCTGAACGTACTGGAGGGAAACGCTGAATGGATTAAGATGTAATATTTTAATGCTGCATTTAATTCCAGAGCTTTGGAAGGTCAAGTAATTCAAACCACCTCAGCGATGTAAGCATTTGAATGACTTCCTGACTGCCAGTGTAACATGCATTTGAGAGAGGTGGGGAAAGGAGGTGTCAGCTGTGTCTCATGCCACTGCCCAGGACCAAGGGCTGCTGGAGAGGGATCTGTGCCATGGGTCTTTCCTTTGCTGTGGATAGTTCCGTGGTGGAGCTCACCTCGCATTCCATTTGTATGCTAATTTGTGCGCTCGTCTTTTTCCCACCTCGGTGCACTTTTTGTTATCAGCCACTGTTAGCAAATATCTGTAATGGCTGCGGAGTATGCCACAAGCACAGGCTACTCCCCCAAAGGGCATAACGGAGGGCACGACGACTCCTCACGTTAGACGATCGGCCACGTGACCATGCCCACCCTGGCATGCAGAGCTGCGTCCTTATCTCAGATAAGCTTCCGAGGACACAATGATTGCCTCGGACACTTCGAGTGGATTAAGAGTCTTCTCCTACAATGATCATGACTGTTTCAATGGTGACTTTTTCTCTCAGACTCTGTGTGTGTACATTTAAATCATCGTCGTCACCAAAACAGCGGGCGCTGACGACGGCCAGGCTCTTCTCTGAGGGCTTCGCTGTACTCACTCACAGCCCACACGCTCCTGCGGGCGTGATTCGCTGGCTGGCCGAGACAGCTGCCCAGGGTCCTGGTGCAGCATGCCAGAGCCAGGATTAGAACCAGGCCCTACGATTATAACCATCCTGCTAC